CAATTGGTGGCTGACTAAATACTTTTTTTCCCCACTGTATTTATGAGTGTGTGTGTATGAATATGTGTGTGCTTGTGTGTGTGTGTGAGTGTATACATGTGTTTATGAGTGTGTGTGTGTGCATATGTATGTTTGTATACGTGTGTTTGTGAGTGTGTGTGTTTGTGTGTGTGCATGCAAGTGTGTATGTAAATGTGTGTGTGCGTTTGTAAATGTGTGTGTGTGTGTGTGTGCGTGTACATGCAAGTGTGTATGTAAATGTGTGTGCAAGTGCACATGTGTACGAATATGTGTGTGTGTGAGTGCAAACGTGTGCGTGCCTGGTGTCTGGAAGTTGATGCGTCTCATCTCCACAGGGTCGGTGGGGTTGTGCGCCATCATCTCAGCATTATTCAGCAAACATTTAGTTCCTGGCTCAGAGTCCTTGCGTTTGCTAATGAGTGAAAACACACACAGAACGAGGAGAAACTGCAGTTAATGAAAGAAACTCAACAGACAGAAAGAAATTCAAAGAGCAGAAGCACATAAATAAAGCAGAGAGCCAGACAAAAGCTGTTCTGCTTTAATCTTCTCTCAGTGATGAGGGATCAGATGTCACTTACCTGTCAGGTTTACTGGAGGCCCATCAAACGCCGCACACACAGAGCGAGAGAGAGAGAGATCAATAGAGTGCATTTGTATGCAGCAGCTACATGACACCTCCTGCAGATAACACACTCCTGCATCGGGGACAGTTTAACTGCTGCCCCGCGAGACTGGATTGTTCCGGTCTAAATGGAAGGGGGCAGGAACAGATCAGACCCAAGGGCGGATTTATCAGCCGGCCCGGCCCGTCGTGTTCCGCTCGCCCCCCCACGGCGCCAGCAAGGTCACGCCGGCGATTTAACGAACACAGATACCTGTGATTGTGCGAAGGATGAGCTCACGCTGAGACGGCCCCCAGAACTCACAATCACTCACAGCCAAACAAAGAAAGAAAACTGGGACACGACTCAATGTGAGTGTGTCTGAAGACGCCGTCCCATGATGCACCTGATGAAGAGCAGAGCTGCAGTCTAGATTAAAGAGGTCATGACATGAGAAATCAATTTTGCATTGATCTTTTGGCATGTAAGAGGTCTTTGTACCATTAAAACATCCTGCAAGCTTCATAGCTTACAACGTCCTCCTCATTATGAACAAAGCATTTATTTAATCGAGCTCCAAAAACGGCTCGTTTGGATCTGAGGTGCAAGATGACGTCACAGACATTTGCATAAGCACCGTCTGACACTCAATCACACTGAATGCTAGCGTTGCGTCAAAAGCAAATATAAATTAAAATCACTGCACTCTCTTGTCTGCACTGGATACAGTAAACAGATGCGGTTCACTTTCTGACACAGTCCAGCGCTCGAGTCTGTCGTCAGGACTAATGCAGTGAAAGAACGTTTGTTTTGTCGCGTTTGGTTTAAGCAGCTCGTTCACGTCTTTGTACAGATATCAGAAGGATCCCTGCGTCAGGAACAAGTGGATAGTTTATTTTAATAGCACCCGAGATCGTGTCGGAGGATTTTGTTTTGTAATCGAGGCACAGTGTCATGGAGAGTCACAAAGAAACATGTGTTTAAAAATGAAGCGGTACTAGATCTGACTTTAGCTCCATCACAAACCGTAAGTGCATGATTTCATAATGTTTTGTCTGGAAATGACCGTTTTATTTTGATTATGTTGTCAAAACACTCACATGCAATAGCGAGGGGGCGTTGATACTGTTTCCTATGCAGTGACGTTAGCCAATCACAACAGCGGCTGATTACTGACAAGCCTTAAAGGACACGCCTTAAGTAAACCTCAAGGAACATATTAAAATAATAAAAAATCCATGTCATGACCCCTTTAAGATGAAGCTCAGATATGAGTCTCACAGTAGCATGCTTCCAGATTCTCGCTGAACACACTGGTGACTCTCCTCACAATCACGTGTGTCACGTGCTGCTGTTTCCATGACAACCACTTACAGCCAAGCTGTATCCTAGCAACCGCTCATCACAGCTTAATTCTTTTAACGTGAGTGTACAGGTTATAACTGAATTTTATATGCATTTACATTTTAAGGTCATTTGATGGAGATGAGTGTGTGTGTGTTTGATATGTTAAGTCCGACCTCAATATGTCTGAAACCATAACAAAAATTGACAATAACATGTGTAACATAATGAATTTTATACATACATTTAACATATATGACATCTAATAAATATAACGTTTTTCCTCTTTCCCGGTTTCATCCAGTGCAGCTGATCTGATTGAATCCTCAGCTCAGACTCTATTATCTTCCTGTCCAGAAATAGCTGCTTCCTGCATATTTAATCACACGTTATTCTCTTCTGTCCTCAATTCAGTTCCAGTCGTCATAGAGACGGCGCTGTACAGTTAACATCATCTCTTCTTCTCATGACTATCATATCTAGCTAACTTTACTAATACATGAGCACTGATAGGAATATACAGCATGATGTTCATCAGAAACTCAGAGCTTCAGGCCAGAAGAAATACATAAAACTGACACACGGACCAAAAAGAGCTCATAAGAAACACCTGGAGAGGCACGAGTCCTTGCACAAAAATGATATGATGATATATTTACAGGGGTGCTCATACGGTAACTTTACATCCCTCTAAAGAAAAAAATAACTATTATTATATATGATACTAAAAATAAGAGGATTCATAAAAATAGAATTTAGTTTTTTTTTCAACGAAAATGAAGTGAGTTTATGCTTAAAAGAAGAGCAAAAAAAATAAACCTAATTCAAAGGGAAAACAAGTATATTTTTCTGACTCCACTGACAGATATTTGTTTTTATTTTAAGCAAAAACTCACTCCATTTTCATAAATTTTTTTCAGAAAATAAAAATTAGTATTTTAAGTCATTTTGCTTCTCTAGTAAATGTATCTTGTTTTAAGAACGTTTAGATATTTGTGCTGGAAAACAAGACAGAAACACTGAGGAAGAACAGTGCTGCTTGTCATGATGGGTAATTCTGTGTATCGTGTGTTTCTAGCGGCATCTAACATGTTCAGGTCAGACTCACTTCTTGTAGAGCAGGATGGCGATGACGATGCAGATGATGAAGAGCACGGCCAGCACGGGTCCCACCACCCAGATGAGACCGTCACCCGCGTCC